AATATACGTCGCTGGCATCGAAGATATCGCTCGGATATGTGGTTGCCTGCGCACCTTTCCTGCGACATTGTTCGATCATGTACGTTCAAACATGTGTTAGGGAATTACTCTGCACAACCCAGAGTCAAATGAGACCCGTTGCCAGCCGCATGCGGCATGCGTCCGATATGATGCAATAGTCTGCATAGGTAATACGGAAACCTCAGCGGCCGATCACGTGCCAATGCGATCGACACATGCACGAGATGACCTGCTGCACCTGTGCGAATCGTCGAGGTCCCATGTCCTTCCTGGCGATCCATGCTGAATTCCCGAAACAGGTGATGGAGGGGTTATTGTACCAAACTCCCGAAGCATGGAATTTGGGGTCATGCATCTTGCACCAATCCTGGCTGTCCACGTTCTGTAGCTGATGCCTGATAGCGTGGCGTCCGAATTGGGACGAGGCTGAACGAGCACCAACAATCAGAACGCCTTGGTGGGCTTGTGCAGTTGTGCGGAATCTTAAAGGCGGTGCCCTCCACGGCCGAAACTCCAAAGCCTTTCTAAAACTGTAACAGCGGCTGTGTCTTTGAGTCACATTATCAACTAGTAACGCGCCGAATCCGTCCCACTGCCGGCAAGGCTGAATCCTCAACTCACCGGTCATGTCCACTTTGAATACGAGTGGCCTGGCTCAGCTTCTCGAAGGACTCTCCGTCATTGAGTCCACGCCGCCATTCAGCGATGCACACGTTCTCGTCAATCCTTTGGATGTATGGCGCGCAGCACTTGCAGAGCTGCTTGCTCGACTTGTAGGATGTGAAGCATCGGATGCTTTCAAAGCCATCCAGTGGCCAAACAACATTTTCAATGGCGATCTTTCGGTGCCATTGCCAAAGTTGTCTCCGAGATGCAAGCCCGCTGAACTTTCGTCTAAGCTGATAAACGAGGTAAGACTTCAAACTCCTCCGGGAGCTGGCAATGTTGATGGGATAGTACTGATCGATGAAGTTCCCCAAAGATCACTCTCTTTTCGATCCTCCTTTACCAGACGGTGTACATCTGCGATTCTTCCTCAAGCTCGACATCGTGCCTCGTCTTCTCATTCCCTATATTTTGGATCGAGAGCACACGTATGGCATGGGTTCGGCACTGGACACCGTCGAAAGCTCAAAGAAACTGGTGATCGAGTCGTCGTCACCAAATATTACAAATGAATTCCAGGGAAAGCACCTCCGAAGCACCGTCACCGGCGCATTCGTCGCTCGCCTGTACGAACACAAAGGCTGGGAAGTGACACGCATGACATATCTTGGGGACTGGGGAAAGCCCATCGCGCTACTATACGTCGGCTGGGGAAAGTTTGGTTCGGAAGAAGCGTACCAGGCCGATCCTGTTGGGCACTTACTGGACGTCTACCACAAGATCGAGGAGGCATTCCAACCCGAGCAAGCTGCTACACGAGAGATTCGCGACAAAGCTGTGAAAGAAAATAGGGATGAGGCCGAGGTTCAACTTGAAATGGAAGCTCTTGAGAACCAAGGCATCTTCGCCGAGCGTAATGATGCCTTTAAGAAGTTGGAGGACGGTGATGAGGTCCTTGTTGCATTCTGGAAACGGGTGCGGGAGGCAGTCATCGACGATTATCAGAAGTTTTACGATCGCCTGGGCATTCGGTTTGACGACTACTCTGGTGAATCTGAGGTAAAAGCGGAGACGATGGCCGAAGTGGAGCAGATCTTAAAGGACAAGGCCCTTTCCGAAGAGAGTGCAGGTGCGTGGATGGTGGATATGACGAAGCTCGGAGCGAGAGCTGGCCATGCAATTATCCGTGATCGCGGCGGAAGCAGCACATACCTCCTACGAGATCTCGCAGCTGTGCTCGAACGATCGAGGAAGTATTCGTTCGACAAGATGATCTACGTCGTAGCCAGCGACAACAGCGTCCATTTCACCCAGATGTTCAAGATCTTGGAGGCCATGGACCCTGAATTGGAGAAGAAGCTGCAGCACGTCAAGTTCAATGATGCTTCCAAGATGGCAACGACGCTCGGCAAGGGATACAAACCGGAAGCGATCCTAGACAAGTGCGAGGAGGCCATGTCGTCGCTGCCCGACATCGATGCCGACAAGGCCGCTGCAGTCGGGAAGTCGGACATCATTTTGAAAGGTCTCGGCACCTCAGCTCTGCTTGTGCAGGAGCTCTCGACACGGTCCGCCTCTGCGCATGCATTCGATACGAAAGCGTTGCCATCTTTCAAGCTTGGTTCGGGACCGGATCTGCAGTACTGGTACACAAGATTAATTACACTTCTGACCGACCATACCGTAACTGCTGCAGTTTCGGACGAGGATTTCAGTGCCTTGGCCGAAGAAGACCGGGCGAATTTAATGCGGGTCCTCGCACAATATCCAGAGGTTGTGAGCGCATCGTTCAATTCCCTGGAGCCATCCGGAATAGTGACATACCTCGCAAGCGTCACAGAACAACTGTCCGACTGTCTCGATGAAGAAGAAGGCGAGGTAACCGTGACTCCAGGATTCGCTGCCCTGCTTGAAGCCACCAGGATTGTACTGAAGAATGGCATGAAACTGCTTGGATTGGTCCCCGTTTCTGATCTACCACAGGAGCGCGCAGATACGCCGGTTGCAGGGTAGTAAACAGGTCAATACCGTGTCTCTTATTTGGTTCTCAAAGACTGTGTATTTACGTATCTCTTTTGGGGTCTTGAGCTTTTAGCGTGGCGTTGGGTTCGGCTCCCCCGATTGGAACCTGAGCTTCCTCGTTGTATGCTTAATGGCAGTACGGTGATGACTTACGACCCGGATGGATGGGGCAATGGCAATACACGTTCAGTCTTTTGGTTATCTGCGGCTCACACCTCATCCGGTTTGTTGACGTCGCGATTGGCCATGGCATGTGAACTAATGGCTCGCCTCAGCCTACCTGCCTTATTGAGCATGGATCTGATGGGTGGCAGGATCGAGAGGCGTGCAACGTCGGGATAGAAGACAAGCTTGCGCCCAGCCGACGTAGGAGAGCTTGAGCGTGTCTGTCGCCCTGCGCACACAAGAAGACGATCGCGGCGCATTCCACATTTCACGCGCTCAATCGCGCCAACTCAACAACGATTGGGCATGATCATGGCTTCGACATTCAGCACAAACACAACCCGACTTGTGATCCTCGCGCACCTCATCTCGCTCGCAACAGCCGCCAATGGCAAAACCCTCGGCATCGCCTTTGGTGTCTCAGCAGTAGTTGGCATTGCGTGTGTCGTCTTCCTTATACTTTGGATACGCTGGTTGCGACGGCGGCATAAGAAACAGGTGGCCAGCGGAGAAGCGGGACAGGAAGAACTTCAAGGATACTGCGTGTGTACGAACTGCTCCGGGTGCAAGAAGCGGAAGGGTGGAGGAGATGGGTCTGCGAAGTGTGCGAGGTGTAAGGATGTATGCGCGACGCCGTGAAAGAAGCAGGGTGGCGTCGTGGGCGTTGGGGAGGGAAAGCGGAGAGGAAGCCGCGATGGCTGTCTCCGAGACCAGTTTAAGCATATCTTATCACAAAAATTCTCAGCATGGTACGCAAGTCGCGAATCTTCTCTGACTCTTGACCTCTTGACTGAAAAGGCTGCGCGTGGGATCGTTCTCATTTGTGGTTGCAAAGTTCCCTTCCATTTACACACAACACGCGTCATACACAACCACGGACTATGCGTCTCTTCTTGGGACCATCCCTTCTCATGAGAACCAAAAGACGACTCCAAGCTCGGAGGAGACTTCCTCGTGGATTTGGAAGCCCAGCCATTCCCCAATCGTATGCCGACTTATACCCAAATAACGCCAACCCAATGCATCGCAGAGTTGAGACCATATAACAAACACACTTCCAAATATCTTACAGAACCATACCCATGCCTCCAATATCCTTCATATTGTTTTGACCATCCCATATCCTAAAGCAAGCATGTTGTGACCTCCCATCCAGCGATTACAACCCAATCTTCCCTCACCATCGCAGTCGCACCACTCAGCTAAACCAACCCTTACTCTTCCTCGCCTCCTTCCTCGCATTCTGCCACTGCTCCTTACAATCTCTATACGCCTGGAAGAAATCCACACACATGGCCCTCTCGCCACCATTGCGCTTCAGACATCGTATGCTTTTGTCGGCTGCTTCTTGACATGGGTCGAAGTATTCGCTGTAGGCTTTGCTGTTGTAATGACGTCAGCAATCGTCTTCTGTATCTACTTTGGCGCGCTGGGCGTGTAGTATGTGGGAGGCAAACATGGTAGAGCTCAATGGGTATGGACGTACTTGTCGAACTTTTTGGCAGCGGGACCGGCCCAGTCGTCTGGTTTTTCGGGGTCGGGAGATGTCGCGGGTGTCGAGTTGACGGGTTTGGCCATTATGGCAACCTGTGAGGGAGGATTGGAGGGTATATGTGGGTTTGCGACGAGGCAATTCAGGTGTTGCGTTATAGAGCTTAGGATTCGAGATGCAGGGCTGAGCGTTGAGATGCCGAGGCGGCGTTATCGATAAGCTGAAGTGGGACGCTGGGCTGGGCGGGATGATATTGACGAGTCCAATGGAAACAATGACCAAGGAACGAGATAGTTGGTGGCTTCCAGGACTGCTTATTCCTTCCTGACTACGAGCTTTGTCATTGCTCGTGACGTTGCCAATATTCTGTGACTTCAGCAACGATCACTCTCCGAGCTCACTCAGTACGCTAGAAATGGCCATCTGATAATGGAACATTTCTGACGGTTAACCTGAAGTAGTAAAGCTTATGACTCTCATCGGATTTCAATGTTCTAGCCATTTTCCCGGTGTTCCCATGCCGCATAAGCGCCCCACACCGCGACCAGCCTAATTTTCCTCCGAAAACCTCATCGACCTCACCAATCCTTGCCAAACGCTAGTATATATCATTCACAAATTGCAGAATCGTCATAACAAGCAAAGCACTCTTGGTCCAACGTGAGTTTAATCATCTCCGATCCAAGAAAGCAATGTACTGATTGTCCTGTAGGGTAGGATAATTGCCTTCCAAGCAATTGGCCCGGGTTCGACTCCCGGAGGGTGCACAACACTCTTCTCATCAATTGCGAATGATCTTTTTTTGCTGTTCTCTGTCCCTGGCTTCCGTGGCCCTTCAACACTCGCGACATCGAGTGTTGTGGCCTGATCCCGACGATATGATCGAGCTTTTTTTCTCTTCTTGGGTTGGTGCGAATTTTACAATTCTAAAGGGAGGTGATACATCCAACGATTAAGAAAATATTCAGCGTTTTTGACGAGGTTTCTCGTCGTTGTGGTGTGCTTTACTTTGGCACTGATCGACGGCGGACACAACGTACGCTTGCAGAACGCCAAAACTGTACTAACACAAACATCGCAATTGCAGACAAGATATCAATTCAAGGTTTAGAGCGCTGCGAAGGCATTCGAAAACTCCTTGCCAGAATATCTCATTCTCGCCGGCCGACAGCCAACTCGCGTCAGTCATCGACCAGGCGCAATCCGTGTCGAGCCCACAACTGTCTTACATCAATGGCGTCCTCGGGACGAACATCTTCTGTAATGGGGTAAGAGTGTACTATGCGACATTTGATAAGCCAAGTGTTCAATTACTTGAAGACAGAGCGATTTTCCATAGCGACCTCACCTCACTCATACGCCACTGTAGCATCCAGAGTTCACTTGCGACGACAGCCATTGCCAGTAAGCACTCTTTTACAATCAAGAAGAACAACCAAAGACACCAGAAACATTTATATACGCATATTGAGTCCCTGGCGTTCTCCAAAGGCCTGGGCTCGTCAAGGAAGCAGACAAGAATTGTCATCTGTTCCAGTACTCTTCGAATGAGAAGACGAAGCTGTATTCCTGCTCCATCTGCCAAAAGCCAGCCCAAAATTCTGGCAGCGAAGCTCAGGCAATTCTCCGCTACGGCCGCAATCATCGAGGGGAAGAAAGACCGCCCAAGAAGGATGTTGTATCGTGCTACACCTACAGCCTCATTCTGTACACCGAGGACACTGTCTCAGCACATATTGAAGCCTGTGAAGCCTCTCATGCTCATTCTTCATGCACCAGGAGCCAGAACTAGCTGAGCGCTTTCTTCTCACTTTGCAATTATCTGCGTTCACAAAAACAGACGAAGGCGTTACTCTGCACTAACTATCAAGGAAAGCTGCCTTCGCCATCTTTTCAGTCACTATCAAGAGCATGAAAATAAACCTCACCGACATCACCAGATTAGCCATGGGGATCCCTACTGTCCTGACAAACGAGCCAAAGCTCTACCCAAGGGACACCTTCTATCACAGGATTCAGACAACCCATTTTACGTCGCTTATCGTGCGATGAATCAAGAGCAAGATAGGACAATACCTTTCAATGAAACTCGTGCGCTATCTCTTCAAGGAAGTACGTTCAAACACCACGCAAAACAAAGTGCTCTCCCAGCAGCCGCACTGCGCCTGGATCGTATAAATTGCACACAACAGAATAGAGCCAAGAGTAATGTATCAAAAGCCACATCTTCGTAATTGTCATCTATAGTAGGTATCCTCCATCCCATCCCATCGCGACCCGGTCAGTCCAGCACATGCAAGCTATGCAAGCAAGCAAGCGATGCCGCTCCCGTCCCCAAAAGCCAAATGAACTAAAGAACAAAAGACATGCAAATGCAAGAAAAACCCCTCGTTTTGTACGCAAGCCATGGCAGCTAGCGTCCCAGCCTTATCTCTTGTGACAGCTTTGACTTTGCCGTGGTTATGGAAGTGCTGGACGCTGAGCGGTCGGGAGTAGCTTGGCTGGACGAAGTGTTGAATGTAATCATTGTCGTTGCTCACATGAAGTCATCACTATCACATTGTTAGCCACATCCACACATCCAACGAACAAATATAAACTCACTCTCCAAAGTCCTCGTCATACGCCGCCGTATCCGCCCTTGTACCAACATCCCTCGACGCATTCAACACCGTCTTCGTCTTCGCCGCCTTAGTCTTCTTGCCACCCTTCTCCGCTGCCTTCTCCTCCTTCATCTTCTCGTTGCTGAGCGTCGTCAAGCCGCTCGCAATCTTCTTGATCTGCTCGCTGGGCAGGTCCTTTGCGATTTGCTTGGTGAACTCCTGCAGGAAGAGCGAGTACTGGCCCTTTTTGGAGTTGGCGCCGATGAGCGGGACGAGTGTTTCGCGCAGCTTGGTGAACTGGTCTTTGGTGTTGGGGTTGAAGATGTGCAGCGAGCTAAGGTCAACGGCTTTGGTGGGGTCGCTCTCGTCGGTCACGGTCACGGCTTTGCCTGCACGCTTGTTGCTGATGCCTATGTCACCAAAGAGCTCTTCGGCCTGTGCCCGCGAGCCGTCGATTTCTTGTTGTCGGAGCCGGAGGCGGCGCTCCTCCTCCGTCTCGTCATCCTCGCTGTCGTAGTCTCCAGCCAGTGCCTTTAGGCGGTTTGCTTCTCTGCGCTCCTCGATGCGCTGTGCCTTGCTCTTTTTGTTCGCTAGGGCTTCTGCGTCAGCCTTTGCCTTTGCCTCGGCGGCCTTCTTCGCCTTTTCGCGTTCGACTTCGGAGTCTTCGGCGGCGTCCCATGATTCTAGGACCTGTGCTTGCTGTCAGTATGCATGCTTTTGTGCATGGCGGGGCAAAGTTGTGCAGCGCGGGGCATGGTGGGCTGACGCACATCGCTGTCGTCCTCTTCATCGTCAAACTTGCCGCGGCGGGCGATGGGCTTGGTCTGGGGAGAGGAATCAGACGAGCTCTCCTCTTCATCATCATCTGTGTTGCAAATATCAGCTGCTGTGCGCTGGGTGTGTGGTGTGCGGCGGCTTTCTTGCGCACACATTCGAGAACATGACGTACCCCATTTCCCTGGTGCCATGGTTGCGATTTGTGTCTTCGTGTGCAGCTGAAAGTCGCTAGCGAGGTAGTTAATGTGTGCACGAAGCGTAGTCGTGCCTTTGTAAGTGAGGAAAGTGTGTAAAGAGGTTTGGTAAACGCTTAGTACGAGTTGCGCGTGTTGCGAACAATAGTTGGGCTCGGTGATTGCCTGGCTCGCTTCCGGTCTTCGTAAAAATTGCCTGTACTTGCTGCCCAATCATCGTGAGCATGCTCTTTCACTCTACCAAAGACCACAGTACATTCCTCTAGTACAACAAGGTTTGAATCCTCAATTTGGAAACCTTTCAGCTCACTGGGTTCGCTCCAGAACGACGCTTCTCAGCTCTTACAGGCCTCGGATGACCCTTGCCTTCAAGATTAGAACATTATACTATCTGCGCAGCAGGTACATATATACAATAAACATGCGCTTGCTGCCCATAAACCAGAAAGACTTGCGTCCTGACGTCTCGCTACCAGCTTTTGTCCAAACCCAAAACCCATACTGTACAAAAAGCAATTCAACATTAGCGCTCCGGCACCTCCCAAGGCCGCCAGAACTTCCAGCCTTCTCTGACTTCTCGCTCGTGCTTCCTCCTTGTACTTGCAACGCCTACAAGCCTCTCGATGCCTATGGTGCCCTCTGCCCTCAGGAACTTCTCTTGGTCAATCTCCTCGCCGCCCTCTTCCTCATTGCCATTGTGCAAGACTGCCGGCCACAGGATGCCAACACCATCCCCAGCCAATGTCGTCTCAAACTTCTCGAATCCCTCATTCTCAAGCTTGACCTCGAGTGAGTCCAAGATCTTGTATTTGAGCTTCGTGCCATTCGAGATGATCGACGCGCTGCAGTCGACTTCTGAGGACGCGTCCGAGTCGTCTGATGACGAATCGTGATGGTGTGCGCCGTTTCCATTTAAGAGAGCCGGCGGCTGTGGTTTGAGTATAGTAATCGCGCATCCACCCCCGCCAGCTCCGGTGAGCTTGGTCCAGCCAATACCGGTGTGGTCGATGATTTCGCGAATGCGTTCGAGCTTGGGATGGGACACACCGAGAGACACAAGCAAACCGTGGTTTACTGTGACAAGCTCCCCGAGGTATTTGAGAGCGGCGTGAGAAGTCGGGTCGAAGTCGGGTGATGTGAGGAGTTTGTGTGCGGATTCAGTGACTAGGCCAATGGCGTTGAGTATGGTCTCTGTGAGCACTGGGTGAGTCTTCTTCAAGGTGGCGACCTTTGCGACCTCGGTAGAGGTGCTGCGAGACTGTCGCGTGTTCACGAGCAGCAGTGGAAGCTCCGGGAAGCTGTGTAGGGGTGTAACCATCGGTGGCTGGTCGTAGTCCCTCCGCTGGAAGAGAACTGCCTTTCCACCTGACGATACTGTGTTGTCCACTCCCGACGGGTTGCCGTGAATGCACATTTCTCCAACGAAAGCCCAGCGATTTATCCGCTCAATGTTGAGCTCGCACTCCTGTGGCGGCTGGTCCTGGTGCGGGCCGCTGAGCGCGCGAATTTGCATGAGCAGCGCCGCGCTGAAGCACACCGAGACACTAGCACTGCTTCCGAGCCCTGCGCCAATTGGGATGGTCGAACGCAAAGTGTATACGCACGGCGGGGTCCTGCGCGACGCTAGGGAGAGAAAGAGGTAGAGAAACGAGCACGCCGAGGCATGGTGTATCTTGCGAATAGATTCGGGGGCTTTGGGGGACACCTCGTCGATGAAGGGCTGTATGGCAGCCATGAGGTCGGGGTCTAGGGAGGTGATGAGGTCGTAGTAGTATTTCTTCTTCCCTGGCGCTGTGAAGCTGTCCCACGGCAAGTCGTCAATGTTCCATGTGTGTTCCATCTGGATGTCGGGGAAGCGCAGCTTGACGGTTCGATTCGATTTGGAGAGGAACGAGACGTGGAGGTACGAGCGCAGGGAGATGGCGGCAGCAATTGCGGCCTGTCGATTGTCAGAGACCCTTTCGAAACCCTACGCGATTGATTCCTACCTTGCCATGTACGACGGCGTGCTCTCCGTAGACTATGACCTTTCCTGGCGCAGACACCATAAAGGGAGGCATCATGGGCGACGACTGCTTCCTCAGCAGTTTCGGGGTGCCATTGTTCGTCGGCGCCACGACGGCGGGGAGTTCGGGGGTCAATTGGGCGGGCATTGTGTCTATGGGCGAGGCTTCGGGCGTTTGTGTGCCATGC